TTATCCCCAGTAGACAGTCACAGATATTTTCATAAGCAATGTATGACACCACTTAAATTAAGCTCATTCTGGAACCTTTCATTCAACAAATAATTATTGGTTAGTAATTTATATTTACATTATCATTTAGTAATTTAACCAGTGTATTTTCTTCATATGTATCAATCATAATAATATACAGTACGTCCTGGTTTAGTAGCAAATGCTGACCCTGATGGTTTTGTTGAGCTCCTCCACCACACTCCTGTGGAGGAGTTCGTAGTCAGAGTCCTCAGCTGTCACATCTGCAGTGGACACTTGACTCTGTTTGAGGACCATCTGGACCATGATGTCCATCAGGGAACTGTTCTTCTCCTTATGAAGACTAAAAGATGGAAAACAGAACAACAAAAAAGTCAGATGGATCATTCATTCAAAGAAAAATATGTAAGACTAATGATTTTTTTTTTTTTCTTTTAATCACAATGGACATCATCATCATACCTTTCACGTTGGTCTGAGAGATTTTTAATTTCCTGTTCAGCAGCCTCAGTCTCATCTCTCCTCTTCTGTAACAATGCCTGCATCTCAGCAAGAGCCAAAGCTTTTACTTTTACCTGCGGACAATGTTTCAACCAGTGAACAACAAACAGGATAAAAATACATACAATTGTTCAGTACAGTGTCCTAAACATGTTTAACAGCTGGGCTGTACCAAACATCACAGTAGTGGTTCACTGTGAAAACAATATATTATGCATTATGCATATTTGTAGTGTGAAATGCCTCTGATTCTATGTTTCACAATATTTCTAGTCTTTAACCTGTCCGTGTCCTTATTTTACCTTTTGCTCGCTCTCTATTTTTGATCTGCGGAAAAGACAGAATCTCTCCCAGATTGATGGGTTCAAGCCTTGTGGTATATTTTCCGGAGCATCCAGCTCTTCCATGGCCTTCAGCATTTTGTCAAGCGCATCGGAAGCCTGAGAGCTGCTCAGATGCTGATCTTTGAACGGGTTGGGGTTGTTGTCAGTCTGAGTCCTCAACTTTTGAACCCTGAAGCATGAAAGACTTTGCTAACAGTGCAGCTCTGTGTGCTCAATTTCTACATATGAAACTGTCAGCAAAGATAAAAAATCACAAACCTGGGTCTACGTCTGAAGAGCTTATACAAATGATCCACAATTTGCGCAGGTACATCATAGAACTCCTTCCTGAATTCTTTATCAAGAACCTTGGGGCGACATGGTTTACGTTATATCATATTATGTGCACAGCTATTTACAGCCAAAGTGCTCTCAATGTTTTAGATGCTGGCTTACTTTGTCCTCAGCTGCGACGGTGTCATAGGCCTTGTGAAACAGTTCTACATCTTCTTCACAGGACTTCACCTTCTCCTCAAGTTCATCCTGTCAGGAAAAGGGCATGTCAATAAGATGAGAGCAGCATGTTCGGGATGCGGTGGCTGGCAGTATTGAAGCCTGACAGATTAGGACAGGTTAGCTCTTGCAAAACACGCTTGAGTGATGGGAAGATGTTATACTGGAGTTTGGAAGAAGACCACAGAGCTTCACTCTGGTATCTCTGTAACAAATAACAGAATCTGAAGCTGGCAGTCATACATTCCTGCAGCGTCCTGTAAAAGATTCTGACCTTGTGCGCCAACAGTTTTTCAAGTTCGAGCTTGAGCTCCAACTCTCGATTTCTCATCTCCTCTTCTAGGAGTACTGCACAGACAAGATGGGCGATCTTAAGCTTTTCCTATAGAATGCATAAAGAAACAACATTAAACAGGATTTTTTTTAACATGTCACGTATTGAGGGTATCATATCACATAATCTCAAGGAGGAAACCATGATGAGAACAGAGGGCCCTTTAACCTAAGAAAAAATAAGCAATAAACATGCAGACTGATTTCCTTTGTTCTGTGTGTGTGTGTGTGTGTGTGTGTGTGTGTGTG